TTGAAGAGGATCTGTATTTTCCCTCTCCTTCTACTTTACTATAGAACAAAACAGTGTGCAGCGCAAGGCTCAGAAAATTAATTCAGGAGTGATGAGAGGGAAGCTTAGCCCTCTCTTTAATTGAACAGTTGGAACTAGTTAACTTCCTCTGCCAGCTCATTCTTTTGTGTTATTGTGTATTCATTTCTATTCTGGGCAAACATTTTAAAGCCACTAGTCTATCCAGACACTATTTTTAAAAGTAGAAGACTCTAGAACACATAGCGGAGTACCACCCAGCCCGCAGGTGCATGGGGACTGATACAAATATGCATTTCCTTATAAACACATGGAGCTGGAGCACCTGCCATTGTGTCAGGCAGTGGGAACACAGGAAGCAATAGGGCAGGTAAGTGCTTATAAAGGTCTGTTGACGCAGGTTTGGAAATACCCGGATTGAAGCAGCAGACTCCCACAGACAAACCTCCAATGTGTATGCACTGATGAAGCACTTTCACATTCGTTCCACAAGTATGTACTGAGCATGTCATATGTGCATGGCACAAGATGCCGGAGATACACAACCAGGCAGCTCACAAGCAAGTGGCTAGACACATAGACAGATGAATGCAATTCCATGTAACATGCGCTAGAATGAAGCTCCACAAAGCAGGGATCTCGTCTTGGTCACTGATGTATGTCCCCTTCCTAGACCAGAGCCTGGGAGTATTTGCTGATTGAAAGAAAGCACGCACAGAAGAGGGGCGTGGAACCCAGCCAGCGAACAGGCCATTCATGTATTTGAGTTGCAAGGCAAACTAGTATGAAAGGTGTGTTATTGTCATCAGCCCCATTAGGAAACAGAGGCTCAAAAAGTGTAAGGAACACGCCAAGATGCCCCAGGTTCTAAGTGCTGGAGTCTGGCCCGTATCACCAAAGCCCATGCTCTTTCCTCCAAATTATGGCCACAGTGTCCGTACTTGTAAGATAATAGCAAATGTAAAGAGACCGCAAACAACTCTGCCTACATTTCATCCTCCCCAAAACCAAAATCTGGTTTTGGAACAAGCAGTGAAATTCAGGGAGTTCCTAACTGAAACACAAATGTGAACATTCGGACACATTTCAGAGTTGGCCTAAGCGCCCATCTGGAGCAAAGACCTTCAGCTTCTCCACGTTAACCAAAGAACCTTTAAAGCAGAGCCAACAGGCTAAGGGAATTAAATAATTTGAATATTTTTAATGGCATAGGAAAATGTGTAACATACACTCCCTAAAATCCACTGAACTGTACACTTAAAAATGGTAAAAAAGAAAAAGCAAAAGAAATAAATAATATGGGAGTACAGGGTTAGGAAAAGCAACCTTTGGAGATTTAAAAACAACTTCATTGTTGGGCGTGGTGGCTCATGCCTGTAATCCCAGCACTTTGGAAGGCTGAGGCAGGTAGATCATGAGGTCAGGTAGTCAAGACCAGCCTGGCCAAGATGGTGAAACCCCATCTCTACTAAAATGCGAAAATTAACCAGGTGTAGTGGCGGGCGCCTATAATCCCAGCTACTCAGGAGGCTGAGGCAATAGAATTGCTTGAACCCGGGAGGTGGAGGTTGCAGTGAGCTGAGATCATGCCACTGCAGTCCAGCCTGGGCAACGGAGCAAGACTCCATTAAAAAAAAAAAAATTAATGGAGGAGATCACATTTGAGCTGGAATTTAGAGAACAGAATTAGTGAAGGACTTTGATAGACAAAAATAAAGACACATCAGCCAGAGAAGCCGGCATGAGCAGAGATGCCCGGAGTCAGACATGATGAGGGCACAGCTGTGGACTGGTAATTACTTGCATTTGGGGGTCACAGACAGGATGGAGTTGGCCAATGAAGGAGGCAGAGACACAGGATCATGGATACACCCCTCCCAATGAGTTCAAGCTGGATTCTGAGAAACCAGGAGTCAGTTCATCCTGGGAGTGACGTATATTTGTTTTTAAACATCCCAGAGATAAGCCAATTAGTTAGAAAGAGGTTAGAAGTTCCCTGCAAGCAGCACTAGTGCCCGAGTGAGGGAAACTTACTGAGCGATCAAGAGTAAGAGGAGGGACAGACCCAGGAAACCCTGCAGAGGCACAGGCTTTCTGTCTTGGTGACAGATGGAGTGTCTGTATATCTGTGTGCTGATGACAGAGGAGTGTAGGACTACCTTTAAATAACAGAACTGAAGTTCATCCTCATTCCAAAAGAAAAACAAATGATCAAAAACTCAACCTGTAAAGAAAATACGGTACATATACACCATGGAATACTACACAACCATAAACAAGAATAAAATCATGTCGTTTGCAGCAACATGGGTTCAGCTAGGGGCCATTATTCTAAGCAAATCAATGCAGGAACAGAAAACCAAATACCATGTTCTCACGTATAAGTGGGAGTCAACATTGGGTACTCATGGAAAAAGAGACGGCAACACTAAACACTGAGGACCACTAGCACAGTGGGGAAAGAAGGGGGCACGGGTGGAAAAACTACTGAGTACTATTCTCACTACCTGGGTGATGGGATCAGTTGTGCCTCAAACCTCAGCATCATGCAGTATATATCCATGTAACAAACCTGCACCTGTACCCCCTGAATCTCAAATAAAAGTTGAAATTGTTTTTTAAAAAACCGACCCATCCTGCTCATGATCACCTGCCAAGAGGGCTTTCTGTGTGAGGAAACCTGGAGGGTGTGTGATCCTCAGCATGCTCCTTCCTTACCCCTATGCCCCTCCTAAGGTGGGCATCCAGTCCTACAGCTCCATCTCACAACCCTCTACGCTGGGATGGGGACTCCTACTGTGCAGTGTAGGGAGTTGTTCCAGACGTAATTGGTGAGGAGGAACTCTGACTGCCCAATACTACCATTCATTCCAGACAGTTCCAAAAATCTGTTTATTCAGCCTTTTGGTATTAAACATCCTGGCATTATTTATGCCCCATCATAATGCCCCTGGCATTATTTATGTGATACTTGTCACAGCATATTGCTTGTCAAAGGAAAACAGGAACTATGAGAAACACTATTTTCAGTACTGTCCAGTGGAAAAATGATGAGAAAAACCAAGCACATCTTTCCTTTTCTACAGCAACTGCATCTACAAACACTGTATTTTTATAAAATAGAAACCACCTCAAGCAACATGAGAAAAATGCCTCCAGCAGAATTTGCCTCTTTTTTTCATTTTGCTTAAATCTCTCAGAACGTCCTTCTTCTCTGGCTCTCCTGCTGAATTTGGGCATCTTAATAACTCCCTCAGATTTTCCTGCACTGTTATCAATGACCTTTTCTCAACAATCAACACTTCTCCTAAGTCAATGAAAGATTTTGGAGAAAAGAAAAAAACTCCAAGATTTTTCAGTTTGTTTTTGTTTAGATTTTGAGTTTGAAACATTTTCATGCCCACATCACCACATTTCAGATGAAATGAAAATGCTGGGGTAAATGACTTGCTATGTGCAGTGTGTGTGCGTGTGTAGTAGCACCTGAGAAAATTATAGCTATGTATGACAGAATTGTGTAAGGTTGGAGGTGGAGTGCTCCTCCAAAAAGAAGTGTGTGCACGGAAAGCAAGAATTCTCTCTCAAGTAAAAAGTAAAACAGAGGATACTAGAGACTGGGAAAAGAGGGGATGGGGAAAGATTTGGTAATCGATATAAAAATAACAGCAAGCTAGGAAGAATAAGTTCCATTGTTCTATAGCAGTGGTCCTCAACCTTTTTGGCACCACGGACTGGTTTCATGGAAGACAGATATTCCATGGATCAGGGTCAGCAGGGATGTTTTTGGGATGATCGAAGGGCATTACATTTATTGTGCACTTTCTTTTTTTCTTTTTTCTTTTGAGACAGCATCTTGCTCTGTTGCCCAGGCTGGAGTGCAGTGGTGCGATCTCGGCTCACTGCAACCTCTGCCTCCCGGGTTCAAGCGATTCTCCTGCCTCAGCCTCCCGAGTAGCTGGGACTACAGGTGTCCACCACCATGCCCAGCTAATTTTTTGTATTTTTAGTAGGGACGGGGTTTCTCCATGTTGGCCAGGCTGGTCTTGAACTCCTGACCTCAAGTGATCCGGCCACCTTGGGCTCCCAAAGTACTGGGATTACAGGCTTGAGCTACCACCCCTGGCTGTGCTCTTTATTTTTATTACTATTACATTGTAATATATAATGAAATAATTATACAACTCACTACATTGTTGAATTAGTGAGAACCCCGAGTCGTTTTTGTGCAATAGATGGTCTCCTCTGGGGGTGATGGCAGGCAGTGACAGATCACCAGGCATTAGAATCTCATAAGGAGATCACACAACCTAGATCCCTTACATGTGCAGTTCACAGTAGGGCTCACGCTCCTATGAGAATCTAATGCCCCCACTGGTCTGACAGGAGGCGGAGCTCAGGCGGTGATGCGAGCAAGGGAGTGTCTGTAAATACAGACAAAGCTTTGCTTGCTGTCTTTCACCTGCTCTGCGGCCCAGCACTGGTCCCTGTCCTGGGGAATGGAGACCCTTGTTCTAGAGGACCGTAGTTAACTATGACTATACTTAACAATGATTTATTAGTTTCAGATAGTTAGAAGGAAGATATTGAATGTTTCCAATACAAATAAATGATAAAGTTTGAGATGACAGATATGCTGATTACCATCTCATCACTATACATTATATGAATCATGTCACTATGTACCCCATAAATATATACAATTATGTATCAATTACATTTTTTAATACATAAAGATTGAAAATCAAAATGTGTCAGATAATGAAAGAATTCTCTCCAAAACAGACTTGAGACCCATCCCACCGCACTTTGATCTTTATTCAACTTTGATAAGATTAAAAATAGCTTTGTCTAATTTGATGAAGCAGAAATTAGGTTGGCAAAAATATAGTTAGAAGCCAAGGTCCGTGGGAACAAAGGAAGTAAAGAAATCCCCGGCTGCCAAAAAGTAGTACGCTAAAAGTTTGGCTTTTGTGTCTTCACAGAATTCTCCAAAACTCTTTTGCCCTAAAAACAGAAGTTTTGACATAGATGCCATCTACAGTGTGATAGATGACGCCAAGCAGTACGTGTACATCGCTGTCATGGACTACCTGCCTATCTCCAGCACGAGCACCAAAAGGTCAGTGAATGCCCAGCCTCTGGTGAGAACCCAGTCCCTAAGACCAGGCACTAAACTGGGCACCACAGGAGAAGCCAGCCTGGAAATGGAGATGCCATTGGGTTGCCTTAGGAAGAGTACACCATTCAATGCTCTTTAGTGTACATTGGCAATTTACTCATTATGGAACTCTTCCTAAAGTGAGTCCATTTTAAAGGCTCAGGGTCTCATCCTACAGAAGTACCTCAGTAGTTTACATTATGGAAATGAGAGTAACTTTCGAAAGAAAATTAGGTTGCTCTCAACTGGAAAATTATTTGAAAGGATAAAAGATAAAATATATGAAAAAAATTATCCTTTGAAAATTATTAACAAGGATACACCTGAAAAGGGTGTATTGAAACTGAGTAGTCTTGCCGGACTTTCCTTAAGGGAAGCATTGTTGTTTTATATTCACAGCAGTCTTCATTTAATGCCAAATTCTCATAATATCTTCTCAATGTAAAGGAGAAAGAGGCCGGGCCCAGTGGTTCATGCCTGTAATCACAGCACTTTGGGAGGCCGAGGCAGGCGGATTACGAGGTCAGGAGATCGAGACCATCCTGGCTAACATGGTGAAACCCTGTCTCTATAGAAATACAAAAACAAAATTAGCCGGGCATGGTGGTGGGTGCCCGTAGTACCAGCTACTTGGGAGGCTGAGGCGGGAGAATGGCGTGAACCAGGGAGGTGGAGTTTGCAGTGAGTCGAGATTGCACGACTGCACTCCAACCTGGGCGACAGAGACTCCATCTCAAAAAAAAAAAAAAAAGAGAAACTTATATATGTTCTCAGTCAATCCATCCTTCTCTGTGAAAAGAGAACCGTTTAAAAATGCAGTGCTTTTCAATAATTCATCATTGTTCAAGCATGCAAACATGGAATAAATTCAGGGATGGAATTTATGACAAACTCTTTGGAAAATCATTGCATGCATAAATGCATGGCCATGCTTAGGTATTTCCACTTTTGCTTTCTTGCTGGGAATGCAGAGGTGCTTGAATAATTAGTTTGATCCAGGAAATGTTTTCAAAGTGCATATTTTTGGGAGTATGACCCAAAGCCTTTTTAATCTGGAATATTACAGTTTCAAAACAACCATTTACTGAGGCTAAATGATTAACTATGCCTTATATTGCTTGAATAATTTTTACATCACCAACCCTACATAATGCATAATATGTAGCTTCTTTGTGCAAATAACCATAGGACTACAGAAAGAGTCTTTCTCCCAGAAAATGATTGTTTCTTGTAACAGTTAGTAGAAAAGCACTTTTAGCTGCAAGATGCATTTATTTAAACACTTTTATTTTAAAATATTGTGCATCTTTACAAAAATTTGCTGTGTGTGGTGGCGCACGCCTGTAATCCCAGCTACTCAGGTGGCTGAGGCAGGAGAATCGCTTGAACCCAGGAGGTAGAGGTTGCAGTGAGCCAAGATCACACCACTGTACTCCAGCCTGGGCAACAGAGTGAGACTCCATCTCGATATACATATATACACACACACACACACAGAGCATCCTTTGGACATTCATGGATTTTCTTCCCGACACACTTCCACACCTTTTCTATCCCTCCTTTTTATTTTTCCTCCCTTTGTTGTTCACTTGGTTTTAGATTTAGTTTTAGATTTTACCTCCACTTTGGGAACATTTCAAAACATAATAGGGGTTTTACCTGATTTTCCTGTTATTGAGAAGGAGAATAAGGTCAAGTTCAGGGAGTTACATGTTAGGATGGCATAATGATTTCTCAGGATTGACAAAACCTTTGTTCCATGAAGTTCTATGAATAAAATTGAGATTCTTTATGGTGAAGGGTAAATAATTAGCATCGAGGATCTAAAATATTTTAGAAATCCAGAGGAAAAAAAAAGAATGTTAAAGAATCAGAGGCTCACTTGAAATTTTGCGTTTTGTTTATGAATCTACCATTTTAGCTATTAAATGAAACTTCTTTTATTGTATTTTTAAAATTTTAAACCTGTAAATGCTTTTAACTTTCTAAATTGAAAGATCAAAGAGACATAAGTAGTTATCCAAGCATCGAGATTATAATTAAATTCTTCTCAATCAGATAAATTATTTGTATAAATTCAGACTGGTTACTCGTCTTTATCTAGTCCTGGAAAAGCTTTTCAGGAGTGAATTCAACTTTAATAAATAGGTAAATACTATCAAATTTCAGTATGTTAATGGAATTAATCTTTCAGACTTAACTTTTAGTCTATATATTGCCAAACATCCAAATGAAAGAGAAAAGAATCATACACTCTCAAATCAGAAATGATTAACAGCATGTATAAAACACACACACTATTATTTAGCCAAAGTGTTAGAAATAACTTCTACTTTTCAAGATAGTAGGAAGGGAATGGAGCAATGTTCTGTGACTAAATAAATCCTACAGTAAAAATTCAGAAGCCAGCCAGGCACAGTGGCTCACGCCTGTAATCCCACCACTCTGGGAGGCCGAGGTGGGCGGATCACCTGAGGTCAGGAGTTATAGACCATCCCAACCAACATGGTGAAACCCCATCTCTACTAAAAGCACAAAAATTAGCTGGGCGTGGTGGCAGGCACCTGTAATCCCAGCTACTTGGGAGGCTGAGGCGGGAAAATCACTTACCTGGGAAGCCAAGGTTGCAGTGAGCCGAGATCACGCCATTGCACTCCAGCCTGGGCAACAAGAGTGAAACTCCGTTTAAAAAAAAAAAAAAAAAAAAACTCAGAAGCCCTATTTCACTTCTTCCTGATTTAGCAATCAAGCTCTCTTTCTTAAGCAAGTCACTTAATTATTTAGGTCTCAGTTTGGAGTTGTTCATTATTTATTTCTTCAGTCACATAAAATACATCTTTCACAAGGAAATCAGTAAGTGTGTAAAGGAATAATAAAAATGTAGCCTGATTAGTCTTTCAAGTATTAATGCTTTTTATGTCTTCATTCAACAATGTTGTTTTTGTTTTTTGTTTTTTTTGTGAGACAGAGTTTTACTCTTGTCACCCAGGCTGAGTGCAATGGCAAGATCTCGGCTCACTGCAACCTCTGCCTCCCAGCCTCCCAGGTTCAGGTGATTCTCCTGCCTCAGCCTCCCAAGTAGCTGGGACTACAGGCACATGCCATCACACTGGGCTAATTTTAGTATTTTTAGTAGAGACGGGGTTTCACCATGTTGGCCAGGCTGTTCTCGAACTCCTGACCTCAGGTGATCCACCAGCCTCGGCTTCCCAAATGCTAGGATTACAGGCGTGAGCCACTGCGCCCGGCCTCATTCAACAAATATTTATTGAGCACTGTGACGAGTGATTAAAGCATGAAGAGCATATGATCTCAACCTCCATCTAACAGGACAGGAAAGAGACTGTTAGAACAGAGCTGTGACTGGTACAATGAACGTCTGTAGAGAACATTACACACGCTATAGGTAAAAGAGCCCCCACCGCGCAGCTTCAGGGTTAGAAGAAGCCCATTGGAGGAGATGCTCACTGACTTACAATTCAAAATATTCAGTTTCTCCGCAAAAATGTCTTGAAAAAAACTTTTTAAAAATCAGGAATCTGTCAGAAAAGGGTGAAAAATTTTCCCAGTGGAAGGGACAGCATGAGCCAAGTTTCAGATGGAGAAAAAAAGATCTCAAGGTAAAGTGGTGAGAGATCTAATTGGAGAGGGGGCAAGGGCCAGAAACCAGAGATCCCAACCGCTGGGGGAAGTCTTGTGACTTTGTGGCGGTTCCACTTGATGGATTTTTGTGGAGGGGTGGGTTTTTTTGTTTTGTTTTGGTTTTGTTTGAGATGTAGTCTTACTCTGTCACCCAGGCTGGAGTGCAGTGGCACGATCTCGGCTCACTGCAACATCCACCTCCTGGGTTCAAGTGATTCTCCTGCCTCAGCTTCCCAAGTAGCTGGAACTACAGGCACACACCACCATGTCCGGCTAATTTTTGTATTTTTGTTAGAGATGGGGTTTCACCATGTTGGCCATGCTGGTCTCGAACTCCCGACCTCAAGTGATCCACGCACCTTGGCCTCCCAAAGTGCTGGAATGACAGGTGTAAGCCACCGTGCTGGCTCCACTGTTTTAATTCAAGAAGTAGCCTCACCAGGTCTGCTTTAGATGGTCACTGTGGTGGTCATCGAGGAAGTACCTGACTGAGGCAGAGAAACCAAGTTCCAGCACAAGGCTGAGACGGTCTTTCCTCAGCTTCATGGGTATAAAACCAGACAAAGAGAACTGTAGTGTGGATCCAGGATCTAGATTTTTGCCGAGAGCAAGAGGAAGGTAGAGAGGCAAGTATTATTCAAGTGATCAGAACTGAGATGAGGCTGGGCAGGCAAGGGAGACAGGAGAGGCTGATGGACCGGGCAGATTGAAGGCTTCATGAATCTACAGCCTGCATGTGACAAAAGAGTGATTAAGAGAGTGGGGAATCAGGACAGGAGGCCTTTAGAGGTACAATGATCATGACACTGGCAAGCTATAGTTTCCAATAACATATCATTAGTTCAAATACTGAATTGGCCCAGAATTAGGGTAAGAGTTTGATGAGTAGACAAAAGGTCTACAAATGTCAGGGCCGAGGGGAGGGAGAATGATTTAAGGCTTGGTCCTTAAGACAGGAAAGCTTTTTGTTTTAACATAAGAATTAAATGACAGTTCTGGAAGTGAATTAAATGACAGTTCTGGAAGTGACGGCGTGTGTTGGGGGCCGCCAGAGGCAGAGTAGGAGGCTGCCCAACATCATAAACCAAGCGGCCAGGTCACGGTAGAAGATGCACGCAGGATTTCAGGAGAAGCTGCGGCCTCAGGGAAGAATCGGGATTGAGTTAAGGCAAAGGCTTAAGGATTCAGAGAAAGGCCGAGCCTGTTGGGGAAACTTTGCCTGTTGGAAGATTCCAGAAGCCCTGCAGAAAATGTGGAAGGCAGGGGAGTAGTGGGAGTCTTGGTCAGGAGAGACCACAGCAATGGAAAGTGTGGGGAAGCTCAGATGACCAGAGCAGAAGTTCATTTCGGGACAGTCACCAAAGAGAGGTTTTAGTGGCATTTGGGGACTGAGGGGGTGCTCAGGGTTCCTAACTGGAATTCTATTGGATAATCGGTTCTTAGTGGACTGAGGCCCAGGTAGCATCAGAGATGTAGTAAAGGTGGCCTATGGTGGCAGTCAGCCTGTCCTCACCCCAGCCCACACAGCCCAAGGACCTGGTGGTAGGAAACCTCCTTTTAGGCAGGGACAGGTCCCAGCAAATCATCATTTCTTGGTGCCTAAGCTAAGAGGCTTGTATGTTTTTCAACATCTCCGATGACGTTGTTTATATATTACAGGATAAAGTAATGATCAGAGTAATATCAATGTTCTGTGCTGTCTAGTAAACTTCTTTCCCCAAACTAACTTAATTTCTTTGTTTTTACTATTTGGATATGATTTCTGCAGGACTTACTGGCCAGACTTGGATGCAAAAATAAGAGAAGCATTAGTTTTACGAAGCGTTAGAGTTCGACTCCTTATAAGCTTCTGGAAGGAAACTGATCCCCTTACGTTTAACTTTATTTCATCTCTTAAAGCGATTTGCACCGAAATAGCCAACTGCAGTTTGAAAGTCGTAAGTATTGTGTTGACTGTGTTACTAAATAAAAAGTGAATGCCCTCTGCACGTGTGTGAAGGCTGCAAGCATACACCTACGTGTAAACATCCAGTGAGAACCAGGATGGCAATCTTCAAACAGCACGTTAATTTTTTCAAAACAATCACATACAAAAAAAGGAGAGTGGAGCTCACGTTTCCTGATACCTTCTCTGTCCAGCCCTCTTCTCCCTTTCTGTTGCATCCTTTCCATTTTCTTTTTTCTTTTCTTTCTTTTTTTTTTTTTCTTGAGACAGTGTTTTGCTCTTCACCCAGGCTGGAGTGCAGGAGCACAATCCCGGCTCACTGCAGCCTTGATCCCTGGGTTTAGCTAATTTTGCATTTTGGGTAGAGATGGGGCTTCACCATGTTGCCCAGGCTGGTGTTGAACTCCTGGGCTCAAGCAATCTGCCCACCTTGGCCTTCCAAAGTGCTGGGACTACCGACATGAGCCACCGCACCTGGCCCTCTCTATTTTGCTTGAACTACCCCATTCACCTACTGTTCTTATTTGTAAGACTGTGACCAACAGAGCACTGGTGCGTGCACCAGCACAGACTCCCCCAGCCCAAAGCCTCCTAGTCTGGGTCCCCATGCTTGCCGCAGGTCCCTTGGGCCACATACTAATCCACCGCTGGAGACCTTGAGGGAGGTAAGATTGGGAATTGGGAATAGATCTGAAATGTGTTAATTCTCTAGCTCGTCTTTGACACTACTCCAATCCTCATCGCCCTCTTCCTCTGCTCCAGACTTGGTGCGAGCTATTCCCTCTGCCTACAACACTCTTCTTCTCCATGTTTACCCACCTCATAACCACTAATCCTTTAGGTCTCAGCTTTCCTCAACCCCCATGCAGTCATTCAACAAACACGCACTGAGAATCTGTCCTGTGGCAGGCTCTCTTCTAGGTAACCAAGCTGCATCCCTTGATTTAGGGACCCAGGGTATCAAGGGCTCTGCAATTAACTTTGACACATGGCTTCCATGATCGCCCTGACCCTGAATATCCCAAGGCCAGACAGGAGAAGAGCAGAACTGGAGGACTGTGTGAGAGGCACTTTTGGATTAGGCCTGGAGGTAGGGAACGTCCCTTTAGCCTTCATTCCACTGCCTGAACAGCTTTCACATGGCCATGCCTAATAGCCAGGGAGGCTTATGACCCTGTTCAGAAAGCCAGCTGTGTTTCCAGGGTGACAAAGGAATAGGTTTGTGAATCATCATGAGCTGAAGTTCCTGGTACACAGGATCCATTTCACTCGTCTTCCCTCGTAGAGAACCCTCACTCCCACCTCCCACAAGGGAGAAAACGCAAAGTTTCACGCAGTCACTGCACAGTCTTCCAGTGATGTGCATTTCTGGACATCGCGCCTGAAAGCGGTATATCATAGTTTGTCAATGTAAAAACTAAAACAGAACAGTAAGAATTCCCCACCGCTCACCAAAAAATACCCAAAATCAGGTTAAGGCTATCTCCCTTCCTGAGTACAGAAACAGGATAAGCACAAGGAAAACCGCCATTAGAAAGGGAAGGTTCGGAGGCCCATGGCAGTCCCTGGTCCACAGCAATTATAAAGCCCTTCTGGGAAGGTATTGTGAAGTCCTCATACTCCTGCTGGTTCAGACCGAGGACCCAAGGTTGTTTTAAGGCATAAACGGTTAAAGGAGTTTGGGGTCCTAGCATGAGCTGGTTGGTTTCTTGGGCAATGCAAGTTTCTCAGAAATGTAGTAGGTTCTGATGTACTTGCTTCTAGTTATTTCCATGTATCCATAGCCATGTCCAAAGTTTCTTGTTGTACATAATTCCCTAACTAGATGAATTATGCTTTCTACTTCATAGACTTCTCTCTCTCTCTAATGATAGGGTTCATTCAAGACCATCAGACACAGGTGGGAAGATTACCCCTATTAAAATTACACCAATTATTTCATCTTTTCTACAGGGCTCAGTCTTAACTAGCCACTTAAAGGATTTTTCATAGTTATTTTCTATTGAGTTCTAGGTACAATCAGCTTTCTAACCCTGTGAAATACCAAATTTCTGATCCATCTGCTCTCTATCATTTCCACTTATAAACTAGCCATGCCTTCCCTGAACCTATTTATCTCTTCTCATAAGCTTTTTAAAAGCACAACTAACAGGCCAGGCACAGTAACTCACGCCTATAATCTCAGCCCTTTGGGAGGCCAAGGCAGGTGGATCACTTGAGGTCAGGAGTTCAAGACCAGTCTGGACAACATGGTGAAACCCCATCTCTAGTAAAAATACAAAAATTAGCTGGTCGTGGTGGTGCACGCCTGAAGTCCCAGCTACTTGGGAGGCTGAGGCACAAGCATTACCTGAACCCAGGAGGCAGAGGTTGCAGTGAGCCGAGATTACACCACTGCATTCCAGACTGGGCGACAGAGCAAGACCCTGGCTCAAAAAAAAAAAAAAAACAAAAACACAAATAACAACCACACACAGTACAAATAATTCATTTCCCCAGTCCCTACAGCCAAAGCCCTATTAGCCAAAGGTTCGGTGGTACTTGGTATGCCTTCCAAATAAATGCCGGTTATGGTTTTACCAAATAGTTTGTCACTATATAACATGAGATTTCATCTTTCCATCCTACAATACCAATTTACTTGCTGCCCGCTGCCCAATGAGTACCAGTGCTACATCATTTATTAAGCTTTTGTTGTGTTGCTGTTATAGCAGTACACACTTCACATTGCCTGAACTTAGTAAGTACTTAATACTTTTTAAATAAGTGAAGAAATGTGTTATATTCATGAATATTCATGAGTATATACAGTTATCCAGGCACTGAGTTAAATGCCTTATATAGATTATGTAATATCCACAACCAGACAGGCAGACATGTGGCTTATGCCTGTAATCTCAGTGCTTTGGGAGTCCAAGGCAGGAGGTTCACTTGAGGCCACAAGTTCAAGACCTGCCTGGGCAACGTAGGGAGACCCCATCTCTGCAAAAACGCTTAAGAGATAATAATATTTACAATCACCCTGTGAAACAGGTACTTTCCCTATTTTATAGACATGAGAACTGAAGCTTACATTAGATGACCTCTCTCCAGGACACTCATGAGTAATGGGGCAAGACTCAAACCTAAGTCTTTCGAACTCCAGAACCTGAACTCTCAAACATGTCTCCAAGGCCCCAGCATGTAGAAGAGATCATTGCAGTCACAAAGCCCTTTTTAATCTTTCTTATCTATATTGAGAAACGTCATATACACCGAGGTGCAGTGGCTCACACTTGTAATCCCAACACTTTGGGAGGCCAAGACAAGTGGATCCCTTGAGGCCAAGAGTTCAAGACCAGCCTGGACAACAAGGCAACACCCTATTTCTACATAAAAGGAAAAAAAATGAAAACAAAAAATAGCCAGGTGTGGTGGTGCACATCTGTAGTCCTAGGGACTCAGGACTCAGCAGGTAGAGGCCAGAGGATCACTTTAGCTTAGGAGTTCAAGGCTGCAGTGACCTATGATTGCCACTGCACTTCAGCCTGGGGACAGAGCAAGACTCTGTCTCAAAGCAAAAACAAAACATCATCTACTGCATCTGCTCAAAGATACGAGAAGCTACACATCCAAATTCTATCCCTGAGGATCAAAAAAAGGTCAGATGTTTGTAATTCATTCATGCCAGTAAGATATTTTAAATTTTATTTTTCATGAAATTATTAATAACTTAAATTCATAAAAATGTAGAATTTACTGTAAATTTCCAAAAAGAATGCTTCTCACCTGTGTTTTCATTTTAATCTCCCTAATAGTCTGGTAACTTTGATGGATAATGGAAATTCTGATCTCTATTTAACTGGTTTTTGTAAACTGAGGAAATCATGCACACATCTGTGTAGTCACAAATCAGTATAAGCATTAGAAATAAAAACAGGACTGTGATTACTACCACAGATCTGTTTTCCAGGCCAGATTTTCAAATAAATGAAATAACCAGGAGTTGGATCAGGGCGCCAACCTGGGTTTGGAATCAGGTACCCAGGATCAGAGGAGAAGCAGGTGCAGTCCCAGGGAGTCAGAGACACAGGAGAATGGAGTCTAATTGTATTCAATACCTTTTCACAGACAAGAGAACTCTTGGGATTGATTCAGCTCAGAAACAGCTTTTTCCAGATAATTACAGTGGCATATGGAGCTCCAGGAAAAAGTGAGAAAAAGAACAGGTGTCTAGTTCACCAATGACTCACATGACGCTTGGTGGAGTTTTCAAAACATACATGTTGAATGAGTGCATGCATGACATACGAAGTCAAAGAAGGGAGCTAATAAAGGCAGAGTGATAAGAAAGATTCTGCAAGCCAGTGAGGGGACAGGGCAGAACCCAGGACAGTGCCCGAGTCCAAGGTGTGGTTAGCCATTTTCTGCAGGCGTGTGCTGGGGAAGGGTGACCACGGGTGAAGAGGCTGCCCAGTGAAGTCATGCACTCTGGAGGTCAGTACAGCCGCACTCAGAGGAGCCCCTGTTGTTCGCGAGGTCTAGCAGGAGCAGAGAGGACAGTCTGGAGCTTTTGGTATACCATATGGTGCATTTGCTCCAATCTCCTTTTCCAAATTCTCCTCTGGCCAAGTCACGGGTCCATGCCCACCTGCTGTTTCTTGACCCCCGCCCCCAACAGCACACCTGCCACTAGAGCACCTGCAGTTGAAACTTCCAGGGCGTGAAATGTCAACTGCTCTAAGAATTACCAAAAATTACAAGGAAAGTAGAATCCATCATTGCAACCTTTATAGTACTTAATCAGCCTCATCTTTTTGATGTTTTTGAACACAGATGGTCACTTTTTTTGAATAAACCAAACATTAATAGTTCACACGTAGCCATTTTATAAAACAGAGGCCATACACTTCTAAGCATCAATACAAGCCTAGATGGGCAAGAAGCTTATGGCCCTAATGTCTAGAACACAGATGGGTGATAAACTCTTCCAAGAAAAGTGGGGATTGGAATATTGCATAGAGCGTGTCTTCAGGAGCCTGGTAGTGCTGATAAAGCACATGGCCTGGGAACTAGGTAGGGAATCTCTGTCCTTAAAGGAGTGGGCACCCCCACCTCCAACCACCTCCAGGCCTGATGTGGATTTGTCTCCATGAGGGGCTCATGGAAAGAGAAAAGACTGTGAAGCACAAAATTGTCCTAGTCAGCTGATTTTTTTAGAGTTTTTTTTTTTTTAAACAAACTAATAAATCCATTTTGAAATGTCTTTGCTGTCACCCACAGTGTATTAGGTGTCAGATAATATCAGTGAATAAAACCTGATTTCTGCTGTCATTTTAGTCTTCCAGAGAAAGCTATTTCCCCTCTTAAGGGCCATCTTTGACTTGCTAGGGCAAATGGGTTTCTACTGAAGCCTCGAGCTATGACTCTATCCTTGACTTAACTCAAGATATATAGTTTATTCTTTTTGAAATCCATCTTGATTCTACAACAATATCTTTCCCAAAAGGAAACAGTCACACGTGTGGCCACGTGTGGTGATAGAATGTCTAAGCAAGGTAACTTCTGGCTGTTATTGGTGGTGATGCTCTCAATATTCGTGTGACCTCATGAATATAAAACCGTGACTTAAGAACATTCACGGGTTATTAGGTCACTTTGAAGAGTCCAGAAACCAATGCAGATTTTGCAGAAGACAGGAACTGAGGACACTGGGTGACACAGGTGTCACTGTCTATAACCGTGGGGATATGGCCCTGAGAGCCACACAGATCACATGCTTACCTGCGTTGCGGAATAGACAGTTTTTAGGTAGATTTTGATCTCTGCACCGTGGGCCTCAAGGGTTTTACAAAAACTCAAAATAGAACTTCTGTCGCTAGAAGGGATCTTAGCGATCATCTAGCTTGTCACCGTTCTACCACGCTAGGGGAGGGGAGTCCAACTCTCATTATTTCCTCAAGCCAAATGTGAACACTTACGGTTTTAAAACTGCAAATGACATCTCCTTTTCTAGGTATCATGCCATTTTCCTCCCTGCCTCTTCTTTCCTTTAAATACACATGATTCTATAGCTGTGGACATTCCAAAAGGTTCCAGGCAGTTCTGAAAATACTCACCATTTTCCCATATAGGGGATAACTGATATTTTCACCTTTGACTATGTCTTCCAGTGAGCTGAGTCATGGAGTTCCATGAGTTTAGCCACAGTTTAAGCCTTGTCTGAGAATTTAGCAAATTCCGCAGACCCCTAAGGCGTAGCCTGGCCGTTCCTGCAGTCATACCCCTTCTTTTAGCTGCCCCATTCCTGGCCTTGGGTGAACTGGAAGGTTGTCTTTTGAGTCCATAAAAGTTGAAATTCAGAATTCACGGTTTGAAATTGTGATTTTTTTTTTCAGTTGCCTATCAAAAGAGCTCCTAGACTTAGGTGTTCAGATGGAAAAGTATTTGTTCCTATGGTAAAGTCTCTTTTGACCTTTGCAAATCCCTAGTTTAATCAGCTAGTCATTGACGTAATGTGTGCAACATGTAAGAATACTCATTCCGTTCATTGCCATGCTTGACAGAAAGCACCCTGAGGCATGCTTCAAATGCCAGTGCACCCTGAGGAACAAGACAATGTGAATTAAACAACCTTCTGGCCCTTATCCTGCTGAAAAAAGAAAAGGAATTTTGTGTTCATTTTGTAGCTTAAAAGTGTTCATGATATACCTAGTTGAGCATGCTAATTTTCTCTTGTTGCCTATTTAGATTTGAGAACAAAAATCGCTTCATCTATGTGAGGTCATAAGATTATGGCTTTAATAACCCATCATGAGGTCTATTGTTGATACTCGGATAATACATTCTTTTGTGCTCTTGGACGAGACCAGAAACGTTCCTCTTATTTACCTGTTTTTGTCTTACAGAAATTTTTTGATCTGGAAAGAGAGAATGCTTGTGCTACAAAAGAACAAAAGAATCACACCTTTCCTAGGTTAAATCGCAACAAGTACATGGTGACAGATGGAGCAGCTTATATTGGTAGGTGTGAGGGCTGTGAGGCTCCCTGGGTGGGGGTCGCCCAGGCAGTGGTAGTCCAGCTGTGCTCCACGGTATGCCCTGGGGAGGAAGCAAGGCCTTGGGAACCACTGCTGGTGAATGGGGGGAAATGGAGATCAGGAAACAGGACGGTGAAGACAGGGAGCTCATCACTCAAATACCTCTTTCATGGCCTGATTTATATACTAGAAGGCATAGAAGACACCTTTCCATAAATGGTTTACAGAAATTTTCTGGTCCCATTGCCAGATGTATAGGCAGGGATGAGAATGGTTCATCAAAGGTGTGTCCTGGCACTGGAACAAGCAGTGTCATCCCCTTGCCCACAGCACCACAAGCCAGCCTGACATGAGTGATGGGGAGGCAGACAGTGCTGAAACTCTCAGTGCCCAGCCAATTATCCCATCCCTGCCATCTTCCAAATGTCCCACTCTGTACAATTTAACTTGAACTCTTGAAACCTCAGTTTTCTCATCTGTAAGATGGGGCTAATAATAGTAACTACTTCATTGGATGAAGTGTAGAAGAGATAAAATGTGCAAAGTACCTGGCACATAGATAATACCCAATTAATGCTAGCTATTATTAAGGTAAGAGACCCAGGTGCTGAAATCATTCTATAATGGTGTAATTATTAATATATCAAATCTATTCTAATTTTCCATGATATATATGAGTCCATGGTAACCTTTTAACTAGTACTATCACAGGCAGTTAAAATGATCTATAAGAAGGTACATAAATCCAAAAACAGCAGTGCAGTAATTACATTGTACAGATGAAATGGCAGCCTCAACACAGAAAAAAACATGTTCATGGAATATAGAAATACAAAATCTGTATCAATTTTTTTTCAAATTCAGTGAGTAAAAAATAGACCCTTTTAACTTTGTAAAGCACTTGATTCATTTCTCTTGGCAACATCATCAATAGGGAGGGCAGCTTTTATCATCTGCAGTTTACAAATGAGGAAACTTGGACCCTAAGACTCAGAAATACAGATATTAGGGGGATGGAGCCAGGTCTGGCATCCAGGGCCCCCAGTCATCTCACCCACTGCCACCGGCCCCAGCAGACACTGCCACTGGCCATGTGGGGAGTCACTAACTCCCAGGCTCAGTGTGAACATATTTTTTCCATTTTCAATATCACATTAGAAGAGCATATTAGAATATTTTAAAGATGTATATCTGGCTGGGCACGGTGGCTCACGCGGTAATCCCAGCCATTTTGGGAGGCCAAGGCAGGTGGATCACCTGAGGTCAGGAGTTCAAGACCAGCTTGGCCAACATGGTAAAAACCTGTCCTTACTAAAAAATCCCAAAAAAATTAGCTGGACATGGTGGTGGGTGTCTGTAATCCCAGCTACTTGGGAGGCTGAGGCAGGGAGAATTGCTTGAATCTGGAAGGCAGAGGTTGCAGTGAGCTGAGATCATGCCACTGCACTCCAGCCTGGGTGACAGGGTGGGACTCCTTCTCAAAAAAAAAAAAAAAAAAAAAAACTAAATAGGCCGGGTACCGTGGCTCACTGTTGTAATCCCAGCACTTTGGGAGGTCGAGGCAGGTGGATCACCTGAGGCCAGGAGTTCAAGACCAGCCTGGGCAACATGGTGAAACCGCGTCTCTACTAAAAATACAAAAATTAGCTGGGTGCGGTGGCACATGCCTGTAATCCCAGCTACTAGGGAGGCTGAGGCAGGAGAATCGCTTGAGCCTGGGAGGCAGAGGTTGCAGTGAGCCAAGACTGCACCATTGCACTCCAGCCTGGGCGGCAGGGCAAGACCCCATCTCAAGAGAGAAAGGGAAAGAAAGAGAGAGAGAGATTGATCCTTCTGGCCTTCTGGTGGTGCTGGAATATGAGACTATTGGCCAGGTGCGGTGGCTCACGCCTGTAATCCCAGCACTTTGGGAGACCAAGGTGGGCAGATCACAAGGTCAGGAGATCAAGACCATCCTGGCTAACACGGTGAAACCCCATCTCTACTAAAAATACAAAAAATTAGCGGGCGTGGTGGTGGGCGCCTGTAGTCCCAGCTACTCGGGAGGCTGAGGCAGGAGAATGGCGTGAACCTGGGAGGCGGAGCTTGCAGTGAGCCGAGATCACACCACTGCACTCCAGCCTAGGCGACAGAGCAAGACTCCATCTCAAAAAAAAAAAGAATACTGTTTCATTCCTGTTGTCACTCTCAGTGACCCAAAATGTGATTATTTTGATTTTTCTCATGTGCACCAGCTTATGGAGAGTAATATGAAATCAGCTGCAAGTGATTAAAAACAACCTCAAACCCATTTAATAAAAAATGGGAACTTTTCGCTTAATCATCAGGGAACCCAGGGATGGTTCAGGTTTTAGGCACGACAGGACTGAGGGACTCAAATCTGGATATTTTACATGTGGAATTTACTTAAAGTGAGATGTTGTATGTCCATTCAGCAGTGACTTGTACCTGTATCTAAATGTTCTTTTGTGGGAATTTTTTTTTAAAAGGAGGGGAGGGCTTAAAAATTAAAATTAAAAAAATAAATACCTGAAACTAGGAAGTTTTTTTAAATGTACTTTTGATGAATTAAGTGTTTTAGGCCGAGCATGGTGGCTCACACCTGTAATCCCAGCACTTTGAGAGACTGAGGTAGGTGGATCACCTGAGGTCAGGAGTTGGAGACCAGCCTGGCCAACATGGTGAAACCTTGTCTGTACTAAAAATACAAAATTAGCAGGGTATTGTGGCACACGCCTGTCCTCCCAGCTACTCGGGAGGCTGAGACAGGAGAATCGCTTGAACCCGGGAGACAGAGGCTGCAGTGAGCTGAGATCCCACCACTGCACCCCAGCCTGGGCGAGACAGAGAGAGACTCCATCTCTAAATAAATAAATAGACCGGACACAGTGGCTCACACCTGTAATTCCAGCACTTTGGGAGGCTGAGGTGGGTGGATCACAAGGTCAGAAGATCGAGACCATCCTGGTAACACGGTGAAACCCCATCTCTACTAAAAATACAAAATATTAGCTAGGTGTGGTGGCATGCACCTGTAGTCCCAGCTACTCAGGAGGCTGAGGTAGGAGGATCACTAGAACCTGGGAGGCGGAGGTTGCTGTGACCCAAGATTGTGCCACGGCACTCCAGCCTGGGCAACAGAATGAGACTCCTTTCTCAATAAAATATTTAAAAATAATAAATATTTTAGAGTGAGACAAACCTATATTTGAATTCCAGCACTGACACTTACATGCTGAAAAATGGTAGAAAGTCACATAATCTCTGTAAGCCTCTATTTTCTAATCTGTAAAGTGGGGATAATAGCACCCGCCCTTCAGTGGTGTTACGAGGCTTAAACAAGATAGTATATGAAGACCTCCTAACACTCTCTCTGTCCTGGCTCTCCCCTGTCTTCTTCTCTCTATAATGCATTTTTAAATGAGTGAATTTTACACATAATATTTTATCACAACGTTAATTCCCTAGACTGAAGCATAGTTCTAGTATAAAAATACTCAAAGAACCTTAGGAGGAAAAAATCCATCAATAATTTAAATAATTATCAGCATGTTCTGATCTCCCAGGTCATCACTGAGATACTTGCTGAGAACGCGGAGTTGAGAAAACTCCACAGTGGACCTGGAACGGAATCACCACTCCATTAAGTTTTCACAAGACTCACAGAAGAATCCCCAAACAGTGCCATCTCTCTAATTTTGAAATCTCCAGGGCACATTTGAGTTAAGCTCTGCAAACTTGTCTAGGAGATGGTTTGAAGGATTGGAGGGCTGACAAGGGGGTGGTGGGTGGAGGGAAGGCACCCGAAGGCCCATGAACCTTCCCAGCGAGCTCTCTTGCAACCTCATCATCATGTCCCTATGGGTGACACTACAGTTCTGGCAACTGGGGGCTCAGCATGCATTTTTGGAAGCTGCAGTGGCAGTCTCAAAAAAAACTGGATGAAATTGCCTCCCAATTAAAAAAACACTGAAGCATATATGTGATTTTGAAGTCAAGCCAGACTGTCAGGAAGTAAAAGGTAGAAGAGCAGGATCACAAGGGTGCAGGAATTCCTTTATCAGCCTGTGAAAGCTTCCCGGAGCCATGATCCCTGAGGTGAGCCTAATTAAAGCTTTTGAGTATCAGTAAAGATGCTGGATCTTGGCTCAATCCATTGAAGTCGAAGGAAAACAAAGCTGTATTTTATAGAATAAGCCTTCAAAATCTCGTAACCTCTCTCCCTCATTTTCCCCCCACCCCAGGCTGCCCCCAAAGCATATTTCTATGTATATTTCCTTCAGAGAGTATCGTCCGCACATGCACGGAGCAGAATTCTCAACATGGCTCTGATGCTCCTGACCTCGGGAGGTTGACGTTGTAGTCCAGGGTGAAGCACACAATTCCTGGCACAAAGGATGCCTTTAGGATCAGAGGCAACATGGAGTACAAGTAAAGTGTGGACCCTGGAGTCAGACCTGGCTTTGAACCTCAGCTCTGATGTTTTTCTATTCCTGCTTTGGACAAATTACTTAACCTTTCCGTGCCTTGATTTCCTCATCGATACGATGGAGTTCGTATTATCACCTCAGAGGACAGCAGTGAAAATTGAAGAAATAATGTAATGAGATGATATATTCACTACCCTTGTTACAGTGCCTGGCAACAGCTGTGGGGACGAGATTTTAGTCTCATATCCAAAAGTCCTTAAAGGACACGCAAGACCACAGGAGCCTTTTGCTTACAGAATGAATAGAAGATACTGCCTGGCAAGGGACACTTGAGCAATGCTCAACCCACAGAAGCTACTAATCCCCAGTTTAGAGATCCAGTCTTGTATTTACCTGGCGCTGAGCATTTGCACAGAACTGCGGCCTCTGTGCATAGTCACGTGTCTCAGAGGAACGGCCAGGAACGCCGCATTAGCTACGGGGGTCTCTGTGCAGAGACACCAGCACAGTATTATGTACCACTTGGGGGAAAGTTCACTAATTTATATCAAAAAATTCATCCAAAGCTATGTCTATCATGAAGCCACTGATAGTACCATTGTGCTGTTTATCCAGGGGGCAGATGATGGATGGGGATGAGGGGAAAAGGATAAAGCAAAAGGGGGCAGGTCCTTCTCTCGGCCGATATTTGGTTTAGGGACTTGGTGTTCATAGGCTCTGAGGAATAAGCTTTAGGAGTAAAATGAGAGACAAGAAACCACCTTCTGATGTTCCTGGGGGTGCCAAATGGAAAAGGGACTTGGTATGTTTGAGGGCTCCAGAATACAGAGCAGAGACCAAAATACAAAACTACAAAGGAAGAGATACTGGCTGTCTCCATAGATGTGCTTTCTTCCAGCAGCTTCTCCCACAGATGACTGCAGGCCCTTGGGCCAGGGGTGCCCAGGGAGACGGATGATCTCAGCATCTTAGTGATTTCTGCAGCGGAACCTGAGTTGCTGCAGAGGGGACAGAAGGCCAATATCTCCACCTAAAACCTGTCAGTTCCCTTTATGGAATCAGCTCTTACCCAAAGAAGAGAACAAAACTGGGAGCTTAGATCAGACCTGGCCTGGTGGTAATTTCAAACATAATTTTTTCAACCTTGACATGGCTAGATATTTTTTAATGAGAATAATTCCTGGTTTATCATACAGTCTGACAGACCTGGGTGCACCATTGATTAGCCATGTGATTAGGCAAATTTATTCACCCCTTTGAGTGGAAGTAAGTCCCACCAACCATACAAATAATATATATAAATACCAAGCAGCAGCTGGTTCCGGTGGTTGCACGTGTACTCACAGCTGCTTAGGAGGCTGAGGTGGGAGGATTGCTCGAGCTCAGGAGTTCAAGGCTACCATGAGCTATGATCAGGCCCCTGCACTCTAGCCTGGGCAAGAGAGAGAGATCCTGCCTCTAAAAATAAATCAATCAGGCCGGGCACAGTGGCTCACGCCTGTAATCCCAGCACTTTAGGAGGCCGAGATGGGTGGATCACCTGAGGTCAGGAGTTCAAGACCAGCCTGGCCAATATGGTGAAACCCTGTCTCTATAAAAATACAAAAAATTAGTGGGGGCATTGTGGTGGGCTCCTATAACCCCAGCTACACAGGAGGCTGAGGCAGAGAATTGCTTGAACCCGTGAGCCAGAGGTTGCAGTGAGCCAAGATTGTACCACCGCACTCCAGCCTGGGCAACAGAGCAAGACTGTCTCAAAAAAAAAAAAAAAAAAAAAAAGAAAGAAAGAAAAGAAAAAGAAGAAAGCTACTCAGTTACAGAGTAGGGTGTCCACAGAAAGCAAGTGGAGGGATGTGGTGTGTTTTTCTTATACAGGAGTCTTATCTGTGTGAAAGCTAAGCTAAGCTGTGTCTATGTGTGAGTAAGCTGACAGCATGTCAAAATGTATTATTCTATCGATTTAAAGAAAACATTCTTATGTGTAATGACGTTCTAGTGTATAAGTACATCAAAGCGTAACTATAGCTATCCTGAAAGCACATACTCTTATGGGTATTGGGACATCTGGACTTTCCACCGCTGTAGGACTGTATCCTTTGGGGTATCTTTAGGTTGTTTTCTCAACTGTAAACATCGATGACCATGGTTGTGACCGGCAAGGAACATGCCTTGTTAGTCTCAAGATGGAGCTGAACTGAAAATGGCATTACTCTAGCTCTCAGGCGCCACTGCTTCCCCCACACCTCGAAGATGGCCTGCATGGGAGTGGCTTACACATTAGTCTCTTCCAGGGCAGATCCCAGACTTGCTCCTTTGTATGAGCTGAATCGTGTCCCTCCAAAAGTCATATGTTGAAAGTCCTAACCCCCAGTACCTCAGAATGTAACTCTATTGAGAGGCGGATCTTTAGAGAAATTGTCAAGTTAAAATGAGATCATTAGTGTGGCCTTAATCTAATATGAACGATGTCCTTGTCAAAAGGGGAAATTTGGACAGAGACATGCATAGAGGGCAGACAACATGTTGGGAGGCTGAGGTGGGACGATCGCTTTAACTCCGGAGTTCAAGACCAGCCTGAGCAACATAGCAAGACCCCATCTCTATTTTAAAATTTTAAAAATAAATAAATAAATAAATAAATAGAAAGAAAATAGAAAATGCCCATCTACAAGCCACAGAAAAAGGTCTGGAACAGATCCCTGCTCACAGTTCTCAGAAGGAATCAACCCTTCCAACACCTGGATTTTGTCTCCAGAAGCATGAGACAATACATTTCTAGTTTCATCCACACAATTTGTGGAACTTTGCTATGGCAGCCCTGAAAACATGAATACACCACGTAACATGGGCAGTCATCCTTGAGAGGCTGTTCTCATAGCACCTGCCCCACTTCCTGGGCCAAGAGGCCAGATCCTGGATCTGGGAAATGATTTCTAGTCCAGTCGGGTGTTTGTTAGAAACTGAGTCTCCTTCTCTGGCTTGAGCGTTTTCTTTGATGTGAAAGCTTCAGGGACTTTTAATTAGAATCCCTCATTTGTTCACACGGATTAGATGTTGTCTCTTGGAGAAGGTAGTAATTACTCACAGGATTTTTAAATGAATCCCTATATATTTTAAATGTTGCTGTATTTAGTGTGGCTTGTGAATGTCAATAAGAAATAACATTTACAAGAAAGAACAGCAGATTCCTTGTTTTGAGTTTCCACCGGAGCAAAGCTGAAGAAAATGCCAAAATAATATGCAAATATTAATATGCCATATGTAAGGCTTCCTGGATTTTTTTCCGGAGCTGTCAACGCAATTCAGCGTCTCCGTTCTTATTTCTGGGTGTTGATGATTTTTAATAGAATCCATTCTGAATTTCATTATATTGGGTATGTTCCCAGTGGACTCTAACTCCTCAACAGTATTTCTTTGTTTGTTTGCAGGAAATTTTGATTGGGTAGGGAATGATTTCACACAGAATGCTGGAACGGGCCTTGTTATCAACCAGGCAGATGTGAGGAACAACAGAAGCATCATTAAGCAACTTAAAGATGTGTTTGAAAGGGACTGGTATTCACCGTATGCCAAAACCTTACAGCCAACCAAACAGCCGAACTGCTCAAGCCTGTTCAAACTCAAACCGCCCTCCAACAAAACTGCCACAGACGATGCAGGCGGAAAGGATCCCTGGAACGTATAACGTGAATAAACAAACTGATAGGACAGTTCCGTATTTCATATTTATACATAAAGGACTTGAGGAGAGAAAAAAACACTTTAATGTGTCTCTTTTTTTTTAGGGAAAAAGCACACTTATAAAAAATATTCTCTGAACGACACATAATACCTATCTAACAATATCTTAGCGTTGTGTACACTGAAATTAAGACTTTTGTATTTGTTACCTCTGACAGAGAATGTCATTCTGCCGTAGAAGTTAGGTTTTACATTTGCATACACATTTGAAGACTTTCATTCCTGCTTCTTTCTAGTTTGCGAACTTTTTCTGCTGACCTACCCGGTCAGTTGTTAGGAAGCTTAGCATGAGATGGGCTCTTTAACACCATTCTGAGAACTGCTAATTTAGAGAGGAAGGTGAGGATTTTTGCCTTGGAGAAGAGACTGATAAAACCAGTGTTTATCCTTGTAAATCGTCTCCAAGACCTACACAGTCAGCTAAGCGTGAATAGCTTACATCTCATGCCAGCCTTCAACACCCTTGAAAAATATCCTTTTCTGTCTTGCTCATTTTCTTCTTATACCATAGGTTTTATTTGGTATCATTTTCTCTTCTCACAAAATGTTCCTATTATTTTCTGTATTCAACCTCAACATGACTTCTAACTATGATAACATCTTTTGAAAACCTACAAATTTCTCAGAGTGGATACTACGTGGAAATAGTGGTCTTTCATTTTTACCTTTCAACTGAATCCTTTTTTCCCCTACCGAATTGGTATTTTAAAAAAACGACAGTCAGCAATACATGTCCTTTCTCTCAAGCTCAGATAAATTATGAAATTAGGTGGCCACCTGCTAATATCCAGCAAGCTATCAAGTCTGCATTTTGGGAATAAAGTAGTTTTTCACATTTTTGTTCAGTTTATGGTATTATAAAGGAAAGATCTCTATGCTTCCGTGGATTTTAATTTCTTTAGAATCATTATGCTGTTAAGAGTATGCCAGCAAACATTTATAGAGCTATTTAATATACCTTGTGCTATTTAATATACCAAATGCTTTTCAGAGAAATGCAATTTAAATACTGTGCTTAACATATTTTACTAAGAAACAGAAATATTGAATTATTGTTCTATAATGTAATTGTGTGTTGTTTTATATCTATACAATATATACCCCTGTATTAATGGAGACCATTGCTACACTAGGCAGAGGCATGGCCTCTTCAGAGCCCACAGCAGGTGGCCGGGATGTCCAGTTCCAATGTTGTTCCCGACTCTGTGACTCAAAGCAGAGCTCCTCACTGCTTGGCCTCGGGCTTCTCTTGGTAATGTAGATGGTAATACTCACCTACCTCGCAAGGATGTTGTCACGGTAGGAAATATTTATAACTTGTTTTGAAATCAAAAGAACCTATATAAATGCTAAGCATTACAATATATAATCTTTTTCTTGAAATAATCTTTGTCGTATCTTGATAGAATCAACACCAGGTCCTCCCCAAGAATCCACAAAGGAAAATAAATTCATAGCTTGCAGTTGCAAATGTGGATGAAAAGAACACGGCACCACAGAAACCCTGGTAGAGCTCTGGATTGTCAACATTTCAATGGAACATTGTGTTGGGCTGCTTTGGCAGGAATAACATCAACACAAAATTAGACATCGTGCTAGAGCTTGTTCTTCAGGACTGTAATACACATGTATTTTCAGAGCAAGGAAACACTCAATTATTCTTTTTCGTTTCTGGAGACTTGATTTCTAAATGCCAAAAAAGTGATCAAGGAGCCTATGAATCTTACCCAATGGATTTACTTAATATAGAAGGGCTATGATAACTTCCCTTCTTGTTATTTGCAAGTATTGCTTCACTAGATATTTAACCAGTTGATCAGGAGAGCTGGAAGGAAGCTGTATTTTTAAGGGTAGCATGTTTTTATGACTAACTGGGAGATTCTCACTGAAATTCCTCATCAATAATAGCCAGCCCATAAGACTCTAAATATTTGCCATATACACAATCCATGTTTGAGTTGGGAGTTATAACTCTGCCAGTTATCCCAACAAAGTAAACGTGGCTTTGGTGATGATTTTAAAAAGAAAGCAGGCTGGGTGCAGTGGCTCACGCCTGTAATCCCAGCGCTTTGGGAGGCCAAGGCAGGAGGATTGCTTGAGGCCAGGAGTTTGAGACCAGTCTGGGTAGCATAGTAAGACCCTGCCTCTAAAAAAATAATAAAGAAATAAAGGAAAGAAGGAATCAGAGTAGGAGTGGAGACAAACCTACCAAGTTCACACTCAGACAAACAAAAGCAACCTGGGTTGGTTTTAAAAAGGATGTCTAAAGGGAGAAAAAAACAACCACAAGAACCAAAACTTGTTAGTTCTCAAGTTTTCCCCTGAAGTATTCATCCACAGCCATGGGACACTCATAGGCTTGGTGTCATGGGGCCTCTTCACTGTCACTCTCTGCTGTATGTGCTACGAGAAGAGAATGTCATCCTTTATGGAATGACCAGCACTGCCATTTCCTTTTGAGGCCTGGCAAAATGCCACCACCAGGAGCTGCATCCCAGACTTTTCTGCCAAGCAGCAGCAGCAGATGCCTACCAGACACAGCAAGCCCCTAATCAGGGGAGTCTGGGCGGCGGTGGTGACTCCACGGGGCCACACTGTCCTTCTGTGGCAGCCAGGAAAGTGGCCCCCATACCAATAGTGTCCGAAATGGGTTCATGTCTCCCAAGAGAACATTTCATTCTGCAGAACTTCCTCTTTCATTTGGATGCTTTATCTATCCCTCTAGAGATGGCTTTCCTTTCTTTTAGACTTTGTGTCTGTGCTAAACAAACTATCAACCTCCATTCCTCCCACCCCCCAAATATCCCAGGAATTACTTTTCAGGAGGAAAAGAATGCAAAACAAAAAACATGTTAATCTGACACCTTCTGGTGGATGTCCACGTCCATGCCAGAAATTACAAGGAGCAGGGTGACTACTCCCCATTAACATTCCCAGATTTATTTCCCAAGAGGCAAAAAGGAAAACAAACCCAATTAGAGACTATACTTTGGATTTCAGTACCACTAACACTAACTTAGTGCCTTATTTATTCTAAAGTGTTGATTTTAAACAATAATTTATTCTATGAGAACACTTCTCTGTCTGGAATTCAAGATGACCTTCCGATGGGCCTACCAGTTGAAAACTTCCATTACAGCACTGACAGTTTTCATGCTGCCTGTTCTCTTCCCAAGCCCCATCACCGTATCCCCCCAAATCAAATCATTGCACACACCATCAAAGATCAATACTGTGGGCCTCCACTGCATTGCCACTGGCCACTAGCCTATCAAATAATTGAGTCACTGCTTATCCAACCATTGGAGAGGAAGCGGAACAGTGAGATGACATCCATGCTCTGTAAACAACAAGCTTTAGGTACCTGAACCTGATAGAAACAAGGAATGCCGAAAATGTCCCCACTGACTTAAAAGAATCCTGTCAAGAGATGCTGCACAGACTTCCTAGGTCCCGCGGCATAGAGAATGAAAACTAGCGTCTTTAACAAGTCAAAGCAGACAAAGAAACCAAAGGTCTGCGGACACCCTTTGCATCTGTGTAACTCTGGGCACCACTTTTCCCATTCGGGCTGTCTCTGTGCTACTGCTTGTCTCATGTCCGATGCAGTCCTTAGTGAGAGGGGTCTGATCACATTTTTGGTTGATCTCACCCTTCGGAAAATGTGGGGTTTTTTTGAAATGCAGTTAATGGTTTGTTACAAGTGCCTCGATGAACCTGGGATTGATAGAAGCTCATTTGCCGCCAGCCTGTGGCTGTACTCAGTAACTCTGATGCATTGTTTGTTTTTAGGAACTTTTATTGAACTAAATTCCAGGGCGGGGTGAGGGGAAAGACCATAAGAATTTCTTGATAAGATCAGATCCAGGGTCTATCTGTCTCAGGAATTCTATCCTACAATTCACTTTTTTTTTTTTTTCCCCTCCATACGAATGACCACTGGTGTGTGTTTCTGTGTCCAAAATTCATTTCATTATTTTTAACTTTAGGAATGTAAAATGCTGCCATTACTTGCATAGAACAGTCACTTCCTATAATGAAAGATACTTTGTTATTGTTTATTCAAACTCAGTCCTTACAAACAGCCCCACATATCCTGGACAAATGTTTCATTCTTTTATCTTTCTGTACTTATTCCCAATGATCTGGTGTGCTTTATTATACACCTTTTAAAGGCGGAATATAACTTCCATTTATTTCCAAGGTAAATAAATTAGATACATTAACCTATTTTCAACATTTTCCAATTTGATTTGAATTAGCATCTTTCATTTTCTTTTTCTATGTTGTTAACAAAATAGCTGCTTACCATTTTCACCTTATTGACTTAAATCGATGGAGGCTTTTAAATAGCCCTGAAGTCAACCCCAGTTCACAGCCTATCTTTCTCATTTGAGAGAACTCCCATCTTTGGCTGAATTATGAAAATGCTGCTTTTTACAGTGACTCAGTGGGTATTCCTCAGAAGTTTCTCAAAGACGTAAAAATGAAATTTTCTTATTTTTGACCCATTAGCAGTCTTGTACTTACAGAGTTCTAAAACTTCACTGGTCATTTACGCTTCCTTTGGCAATTTGAAAAAAAGAAGCTATATTTAATAGACTATTCCACATTTTCTTTTGCTATGTTCAACTACTAAACTTCTAATTCTGTTACAAAAGGTATCTTGAATTTTTTAATGTTCGTTTATGTACATAGGATAAACTTGTACCTGGATATAACTATATTATTAACCTTAAGATCCCTAAATAAATTGGTTCGATAAAGGGTTGAATTTGGGGGAATCATTAAAATTCTCAAACCTTTCGTATAACCAGATGCTCAGTTTTTTCAGAAGTAAATATTAGATGGCTTTTTCATACTGTGAGATGAGGCATTTCTTTTTCTCCTCAAGCTAATCTCAGAAACAAATCAGTCTCTCATCAGTAACCAAACTGTACTGTGGTGAATTCTGAAGAAGGTAGATGCGACTGGTCCAATGGGCTGACTGTTTTGTATATTCACACAAGGAGGCATCTTTGAAATACTATGCCTATCTCTTACAAAAAAAAAAAAAAATTCCAATAAATGTTCATTCTGAGTAAATTATCTTTTAGTGAAAAAGAAGAAACAATCATAGAGACCCCACTAGAGAACCTAGTGTTTGCTCAACAAACCCACACTGAATCTCAGGTGTAGAGCACGCCTTGACAGCCATCTCAGCCAGCTCCCCCAGTGTGTAAATTCCCTTCCCATTTGGGCACTTAGAAGTTGACAACCTAGAGTCTCAGGATGGCCGAGTGGTCTGAGGCGCCGGGCTCAGGGTGAGAAGCTGACAACCTACTTGAGCCAAACAACTTGGAGTGCTGTATATGGTTCCTTTCTCAAGACTCACACGGGATAAAATGTGTTGATTTACTAATTTGGATTTGAGGCAGTCTTATCTCTGAAAGGATATGCACAGTATGTAATAAGGTGGGTACTCTTTTCATAAAGAGAATCAATATGAGAGGCAGACTTTTTTAAAAAACTATCATTTGAGAGGTTAGCAAAGGCTTAGAAGTGAACTTTGAGTCTGCAATAGTCAATAGCATTCTGATTTTATCAGCAGTTTCTGAATGCTACAATTTTGTGGTTTTTTTTTTTAATTGGGCTAACAGTTTGATGACAGTCATGTACAAGGAGTCCAATTAAATCATAGTAAGAGTGAAGATTGTGATTTAGTTTTATTTGAGAGACAAATTAGTAAGGAGAAAAGATCTCTTTTTATGAAGTGGATATCTGGCTCTCAAACCCATTCCTTTTGGCTCAGACGTTAAAAAATTATTAATTCCCTTATGGACTCTCCTATTCCCCATGGGCAGAAAATTCTGAAAAACAGATGAGACATTCTGAGCCCCTTGCAAGACAAACACAGATGGTTTCTAATTTAGAGTTTTCCCACACAAATGCACAACCAATCTTGGAAATATGACCTCAATTCCCAGGATTAAAAACATTGAAATTATATGTTACTTTCCAATGTAAGTGGAGGATGAAGATCTTTAAAGACAACTCAGAAAATATCCAATAACATTCAAATCAGAGCGTAATCTACAATTTCACTTGTTATTACTTAAAAGCGAAGACTAGCTGCTGCTTTAAAAGGGGCGAGTTACTAAAAGCAACATCCTAGAAAATGTAATAAAAAGAAGGCAACACCTTATTTTCAGCAAAGTTATAGTACTGATAAAGCACTTTGAAAATCCCCTGCAGGAAAATGTCATTGAGAAACAAAGACGGGTTTGTCCCCAGTGATAAAGCTATCTCTTATTCATATTTCATAGGTGGATCTATAGTTTTCCTGGTGTCTCGGAGAGACCTTACCTCCACAGCTCCTGCAGGAGCAAAACTCTATTTTCTGCCATGTGAGCTGTCTACACTGGCCACAGCTGATTGTACCAAGGTTCAGTACCTGACCCAAAGAGACTCATTTACAGGCCAGAGGGTGGCCTAAGGAATGAAAGTGTACCTAGCAGTGGTATTCTTTTTTGATGGCACCTGGCCCAACCAGTCACAGCCCTCTTTTAGGGAGTTTGAATACCAGAAACTAAATGATGAATAGGAAGCGCAGCCAAAATAGACGCAGTCACCGTAATGGTGCCTCTGAGAGCAGTGACAGCAGTTACTTCTGCAGTCAAGACAACTTGAGTTCTTGTTGATTCGCCATTTCTGCTCTTAGGTTACTGGAGAAATACTTGACTCCTGAACAATGAGTCTGGACTTTGTAGTTCCTGGGTTGCTTTTTTTTCTTCCTATGTATTGACATAAATAAACTCACATTAGCTGAAGTAACCTGACTGTGTGTCTGCTCTTTGAAACCTGGAAGGGCCTAACTAACACGACAAAGTGAAAGCCGTCCTCGTTTTTAAGTAGCTTGGAAGGAAAAGAGGAAAGAAAAAGAAACACTGTGGTATACCTTTTGGGTCCGACGGAGACTCATGTCAGAGATCTCCATGGTGAAGCATGTGGATCCACGCCATAAGGGTTAAATATCAAATCAATAGTAATCAAATGTGTTCGGCTCACAAAGTGTGTTTGAAACATTGAGCGTGGAAATGCAAGTGTTAGGAAATGACTACATGGTAGACATAGAGAGTGTTAGAGCTGGAGAGTGGAATTACAACTCTCGAAGCCCAGACCCACTATTTTTCTATATGAGGAAAATGAGGCGTAGAGTACACAGAGTTAAGTAGAGACAGATGTGTTATAAATTTAGATAATGTTTTAAAATACACAGTCTAATGATTGACTTAACAAGTGCAAAAGTTGCTAATAGTATGCTGAATATTTGGTGTAAGGAGGCAGTTTACAGAAATGCGTAGAAGACAGAAGCGAAATCACTCCTAGGGGGTCCGATGAAGAAAGGTGGGTCTATTGAAATGTCATGGAGGAAATGGAGGAAGTGGAGGTAGTATCAAGACATGTTTATCCTGCATGGCTCCCAGCTCAATTTAAGTAGAGATTAGTAATATCAGAAGGTCTAGGGTGAGATGATTTTTAAGATTATTTATTTACTTTGGTGGTGGTGTGTTAGATATTTTGTTTCACATTTAGCCTATGGTGGACACTCATTCAAAAGTAAAAAGAATGTCATAAGCTACCATTTAGCATATGGGTTGAAAACAAAATTCTGTATTTTGGAGTTTGTCACTCAGCCAGTCAGTTTGTAGTTATTTATATAAAAAGGATACAAGAGCTGGAACATTTAAGGAGTCTAAGGTCTGCAGACAGTGATATATTGCTGAATTGTTCCTATGATCATGCAATTTGGGGAGCCTAGTTATGTTATGCCATCGTGTGATGGTCAATTGTATGTGTCAAATTAACTAGGCTACTGTCCCCCGTTACTCAGTGACACATGAACTGAGCCAGGTGTTGCTGTGAAGGCTTTCTGTGGATGTCATTAAAGTCTATAATCAGATTTTTTCACTAAGAAAGATTTTTCTCGATAACCTTAAGTGGGCCTCAAAAGGTCTTAAGAGCAGAACTGAGGCTTCCCTGAAGAAGAAATTATACTTGTAGACTACAGCATCCGCTCCTGCCTGAGTTCCAGCTTACCCATCCTGGTGAGCTGCCAATGGATTTTGGACCTGCCTAGCAACCCCCACAATCACGTAAGCAAATTCCTTTCAATAAATCAATTTCTGTGTGTGTGTATGTGTGTGTATATACTGGTTGTATTTCTACGGTAGAATTCTGATACGAATAGTAATAAATAATCCCCAAATCTTAGTGGTTTAAAACCACAAAGGATTTTTGTTGTTGTTGTTCACACTACATATTCATCGCGGGTCAGCAGGGGTGCTCAGCTCATCTTGGCCATTTAAAGATCCAGGTTGACAGAGCAAATGTTGCTGGTCACCATGCCAGAGGGAAAAGAGATTGCTGGAGTCTTACATGAACTATTAAATTCTCTGACCAGGAAGTAACACATGTCACTTCTGTTTACAGCATAATGGCCAGAGCTAGTCACATCATTTTACCTAGCCTAATGTTGAGAAATACAGTCCCACCAGCATTTCTGGAATGGTGGAGAAAACCAACACTAGACTAGTGTATAGTATTAATGACTAACACAGTTAATTTCAAAAACACAAACTTATCAATGAGCTTCTCATTTAGAGTAAAGACAAATTCCTGAGGACAAAAAGTAAGAAATGTTTAAGAATGATTAGAAACAAAAGAATTCTAAGATCAAAGTGACTCACTGAAGAAGAATGAATAAATGTTGACAGTTCCGTAACATTTGCTGTTAGTAGCATTAAAAAAATAAATGCCACGCTCTGAAAATTTACTGAGATGTCAACCAGTTGACTTAATGCTTAAGCAAGTACAAAAATAGTCACGAATATAAGCTCAGGTAACTTTCTTTAAGGTGGTCCTGGGTTCCAGATATCTAGATAGGTGAACTTCAGTGCCTATCAACCTCTAAAATAACAGATAAATAAGAGCATAACCAAAGAGGAATATTCTCAACTGAGTTTTGTAGGCTTATTGAAAGTCTTTCTACACAAGGAACCTCAGTTTGCCTTTGACTTTCATGAACTCATCTTTTAATGTATAGTATTTCCCTTTACAATGTAGGTTTCCTGCTCATGAATCTTTATTTTCTTTATAATATAAACCTATTTTTTACTTATTTATTTAATTTTTTTTTTTTTTGAGAAAGAGTCTTGCTCTGTTGCCCAGGCTGGAGTGCAGTGGCACGATCTCGGCTCACTGCAAGCTCCACCTCCCGGGTTCATGCCATTCTCCTGCCTCAGCCTCCCAAGTAGCTGGGAATAGAGGCGCCCGCCACCACACCAGGCTAATTTTTTGTATTTTTAGTAGAGACGGGGTTTCACCATGTTAGCCAGGGTGGTCTTGATCTCCTGACCTCGTGATCTGCCCACCTTGGCATCCCAAAGTGCTGGGGTTACAGGCGTGAGCCACCGCGCCCGGCCAAACCTATTTCTTTAATCCGTGTTTCCCACCCCCTTTTAACAAATAATGTGTTTCTTACTTGTGCATTACCAATTTATCTTAAAACTATATCCCTGGAAGCAGAAGGGCTTTTTAACAAGATGTCATATATTCTCCAAAAAACTTATCTTTCATGCATGCTGGTTTTAAAGAATCAAGCACATAACAAATAATGTTGTGTTTGTTTTATGTGTGAAATGACATACAGGGGAGAACCATTCAATGTGACTAATATTGATTGAACTCCAATTCTGTGCAATCCTGGTGTTGTTGCTTTGGAACAGACAATAATGAACGAGACCTGCCCCTGTCCTCAAGGGGCATCTAGTATGAAAAGCAAACCCGAACATGACTATGCAGTTTGAGTAAATAATATTCTAGCACTTGCCTGCCACCGTGTCCTGACCAATCTCATCAGTAGAAGTGTGGTTTAAAGCAATTTAGTGCAGATAAATGTTTCCCCAGAGACCTAGGAGAGGATGGAACAGTCAGGAATAATGCAATGTGTCAAAACCAGCTGGGCCACTCACTACAGGGGCACACACTTTTTTA